GAAGGATCTTGTCAGAGTTACGAATGGCTGTAGACAGGAGGGGGCGAGTGATGCACGGGATGTCTGGTGCCCTGGGCTCAGACCCCCTCTAAATGTGTAGCCTTGGACACTGTCCTGACAAGCATGGCAGTTGTGACAATGAAATGGAGCCATGTATGTAAAAGTTCTTTGCAAAGAGGGACGTGTCTTAGAAATAAGAAGTATTGTTACTAATATTATGCCCAAGCTGCAGGTCCCCTGGTGCCACAGAATCTTTGTCTGCAGCAACCAGGAGTTGATCCTTGAAGCTGGCTGCTCACACATGACCCAGACACAGGAAGGAGCTTAAGGGCAGAGGGGATGCCCTGTCCCAGGCTCTTGATGTCAGTCACTGCTTGTGCCCCTCTCTGAGAATTCTGGGTAGTACCCTAAACAACCAGCCTCTCTTCAGGGCCCCCAAATCCTGCTGTCATGTGTGCCTGCCCACCCTGCTCACTGTGAACATCAGGTCTGGACACGGAGGGCAGGGCCACAGCAGACGTGGAGGTGTATGAGAGCAAACTGGGCCATGCCATCCTGTGAATCCTGCTCACTCTAGAGGAGGTTCGGAGGAGACGGGAGCTAACGTTCAGGATTCATTAACTCCCAAACTTTAGGGTATCTGGAGTGTCCGTGGTCACCATCAGGGATCCAGATGAGAGAAACGGGAAAAAGAGAAAGGGAAGGTGGTGGTGGGGAAAGGGTCAAGGAATGGAGAGAGGTCAGAAGAGGGAAAGAAAGGCTCCTTCCACCCCGAGGCTCTGTTCCTTCTTCCCTAACCACCCCCAACCCACCACATCCATTCCGCTCACCCTTGCCAAGCAAAGCAGGCAAGGCAGCCGCTTTTGGGGATCTCCGCTATCTACATATCTCCAGAGACCCCATCCCTGAGGGAGTGGGGAGAGCAAGGCTTGATTCTCTGTAGGGCTGGAGTGGGAGAAGGCAGAGCAGGAGTGGGAGGGGTGAAAAGTGGTCCATCTCCTCCCCCAAAACTGGATGGGAGTGGGGTGTGTGCTTCACTTTTAAACTACAGTAAGTGCAGCTGGAGTGCGCCCTAGAACACAAACTCCGCTTGAGTCTTGTCAAGCTGGAAACAAAGCCACGTTCTGCTCCTGGCGGCCGTTTCAGGGCTTGCCGCTGGTTTTCCAGAGCAGTTGTTCCTCTTGACAGACCTTTGGGATTTCTAGACATTCCAGTCCAGACTGTGTTGGGGCCGCACCCCCCATCTTGGACCCTTTTTGGAGTCCTGTCCGTTCTGACCCTTCTTTTCCTGCTGCTTGTCCACTGCCCACACTTGCCCCTGCCCCTGAAGCCGCCAAGCTCCATCTCATCCCTGCTGTGTTGTTCAGAAGACCCTGGGTCCTTCTCTGTGCCCTGACTTCCCGGTCGGGGCATTGGTTACATGCCTGCCTTCTGGGACCCTAACACTGGCCGTTCCCTTCCATGGCCTACCATTTCTCCTGGTCTCCCATGATCTGAGGATCAGACCCATTCAATTTCTTTCCATCTTCTGCCTCTGATGATCTCCCCAGACTGGAGGTGTCGAGGGGTTGGGCAGTCTGCATTTACTGTTCTTGGGAATCCTTCTTACTTGCTGGAGATAACAAGCAAGGAAGGGAGGGTGGTGTGGTGACCTGACTGTCACCTTGTTCTGGTCAGCTCCAAACAAAGGTTCAGTTCCTTTGCAGTTCTAGGCTGAACCTCCTGCCCTAAGCACTATGATTGCAACCTACCCTGGGTGTTCGCACAGTGGCCCTGCTCCACGCTGCTGGCCCCAGGACCTGAGTGGACCCCAAGGCTGTAGCCCTGAAGCCATTAGGTATATCCTTGGGAAACCATGCTCCCCAGCCTCCGCCCCATGGTCTGCCTGGCCTGTGGGCTGCACTCCATATTCTTCATACTCCTCAACATATTGCCATGTTCAGCAGTGCAGTACATGCTAGTATAGACTTCAGAGTCACAGCATGTTTGCAGGCCCTCCAGATGGCCTGGGCTGGGGACCACTACCCCAACACCAGCAGGAGGCCTCAGCTAGGGCATCTTCATCAGGGTGCATCAAAAAGACTGAGGGTGGGCCAGGCAGCCCCCTCCCAGATCTAACCTTCCTGCCACTCCCATCTCTTGACCCTGCCTGGGGTTTCTAAGAAGCATTGACCAATGCTGGGGACTTCGGGACCTACTGTGTGTCTCCCCAGCCCCCTGGATGAGTTGGAGTTCCTGGCCTCAGGCCCAACTCCCAGGCTTCATGAGCTCCCGGCAGTTTGGGGAAGCTTAATCCCCAGCCAGCCTATCTCCAGTTCAGACTGCAGCTTGCCCCTCCCCTCCCCATTCACCTGACCAGCCCATTAGGAATCAGGAGCCCCTGCGCCCCCACCCTGGAACCTCGTATTGCCTACCATCCTTTCGTGGTCTTTCCTTTTTCTTCCATTTCTCGGTCGGGGCTCTTGTCAACCTTGGGCGCCCTTCTCTGCGGTTACCAACCTAGTCAAGTGCCTGAAACCTTCATCTTTTCCAGTCCCTGGTGCCCATGTGGCTCTTGGGTTGGGGTCTGTGGCCCATGTTATTGACACCCTCCTGCCCAGTATCTATCATCCTGCCCCCCTCCCCGCCGTGTTCAGGACAGTTGTGTTCATAACATGGAAGTCACACCCTGTGTGGCAGGTGGCCTCTCTCCTTCACTCACTGGAGAGGGGCCGCTCCTGAAGACAAGCGTCCAGGGGCTTGGGCACTGTGGCAAGGGCAGAGGTGAGAAGGCAGTTAGTAGTCTCTACCTACTCCTCCCACTCACCACCAAGCCCAGTTCATCCAAGGCGCTGACTACAGTGAGCAAGGGAAACAGAACCTCAGCAGAGCTCCAACCCTGCCCTGAAGACAGGCGGGGATGCAATCCTGAGCTCCCCTGTAGATGCGAAGGACATACGCCCAGAGAGGACATTGTCACTTGCCAAGAAAACACAACTCACAAGGTAGGGAGCTAGGATATGAACCCCAGATCGCTTGACTCCAAAAACTAATTCCAGGGGCTCTCCAGGATGACTTTTCCCAGAGGGACCTGGGCACTTTGTGTCGCTTCCTATTTTAATATCCTTCTTCTTCTCCCCCACTCAACCCCAGCCCCCTGGCCTGCCCCCACCTCTTCTGAGCAGCCGCCACCACGGGAATCCTTGGCTCCTGGGACTGAGGGCTGAGGTTCAGGGGACCGTGGAGGGGGGAGGGCACTGGCTGGCTCTAAAACAGCCCTGCCAGCTGTCCCTGTCACAGAGAGAGGAGTCTGTGGGACGGTGTGTGCCTGCCTGCATGTGGGAGCACATGTGTGAGAGAGTGTGTATTTGTGCCTCCGGCTCCAAGTCCAAGTGCTTATTATGTCTGAGTGGGGCCGAGTGCGTCTGCACGTGTGTCTGTCCGTCTCTGGCACACACAGCCTGCATCAGCTTTCGCAGCCTCCTGCGCTCAGGCACTTGCTCTTCCCTGTTCACCCTTGCTTTTCCCTGCTGAAAGCTGGGGTGAGACCAAGGCCCGGGTAGGGAAGGCCCGGGGCCGGGGGTAGTGGGAGAGTTCAGAAAACGGCAGAGAGGAGTCTCAGTGGGAAGGGGGCATGGTGATAGTGGGGCTTGGGTTTTTCCCCTGCAAACAGACCACCTTCTCGCTAGCTCTGTGTTGCTCATATGTCTTCCAGAAAAGTCAGGGACATGTTTAGCATTGCAAGGGAGTCTTGGGTACAAAGTAAAGTCCTTTCCAAGGGTACCCCTTTTCCATCAGGGCACGGCTGAACCAAAGCTCCCTGGTGCCAAGCCTTTGTGTGGCTCCTGACCTCAGGGCCAGAAGGGGAGAAGAAATAAGAGAAATAAGCTACCCCCACTCGTAAATGCCTTTGCTCCTGACTTCCCGGTTTCAGCTAACCCTGACTCTCTGACCCCAGCAGAAATGGCAGGGACCAGTTCTTAACCTCCTGCCTTGGCCTCTTCCCACCTCCAACCTGGCTGCAAAGGTGGAAGGAGCACAGCTGTGCTCTCAGAGCCAGGTGAAGGGGGCATTACCAGTGAGCAAACACCAGCCACTGCCCATCTGCACCGCCCTGGAAAAGGTACCTCAGGAATTCTAAGGAGCCAAGTGATACACGTCCCCATCTAGGCTAATCCGCCACATCCATGCCACGCATGCAGCCTGCGTTAAGCCACCACTGATGGGGAGGGTATGTCAGGCAGGGAGAGGTCCCGCCCACCTCGCTCTCCTTCCCTCCACCCCCCAGCCTAGACTCCGGTTCTGACCTGCAGGCATGCAGGTTGGGGAGAGCCAGCAGGGAAAGCTTGGAGAGAGAAGCAGGCAGGCCTGGCAGGCAGTACCAAGCTAAGCTCAGGGCAGGGTGTGTGGGCCTGGCAGACACTGCACATGGGGTGGAGCTATGACCTGTGGGTGCAGGGCGTGTGCTGCAGCTATCAGCAGACAGGGCTGGAGCACCTGGTGGAGTTAGCAATCTCTCCGGAAATTGCAGGGCAGCCGGGGAACAGAACTGCCCTAGTTGGAAGCAGCCCAGGCCTGGCCAGGCTGTTGTGCTAGCTGAGGCCCTTGAAGGGGCTTCCAGGGAGGATCTCCCTTTACGGACACTGCTTCACAGAGGGCCTGGCTGTGCCTGGTCCATGGGGACACTGCACACTGGCCTGAGGAGCTGGAGTGCGTGGGGGACATGCTGTGTGTGGTACATGGTTTCCCTAATTCAATAACTACCCAGCAACACCTGTGCATCAGGCTCAGGTCTGGGTACCCGGCTGCTGCAAAGTGCAGTCGGGCTGTCCCTGGGCACAGCACCTCTGAGCACATACCCTGCCCTTTAGGCCATCGCTGCCCCGTCTACTCTAGGGCGCGTCTACATAGGGCCTGCTTTCTGTCGGCGGCTAAGACACCCGGTTAGGAACTCTCAGGCTAACAGCCCTGGGAACCCGCGCTGTGAGCATTAACAGCCTGTCTTCTTTTCCCTCCCAGAGCCCTCCATGGAGTTCGGGCTGCTCAGCGAGGCGGAGGCCCGGAGCCCCGCCTTGTCGCTGTCGGACGCCGGCACTCCCCACCCGCCACTCCCAGAACACGGCTGCAAGGGCCCGGAGCACAGCGGTGAGGGCGCCCCCTTCTGGAGGTGGAGGAGATGGCGGCTCCATCCCTACTTGGGGTGGGACTTAAGTGCCTGGGCGCCCCTTGGTGACATTCTGCTCCCACCTTGGACCCCAGACTCAGAGAAGGCCTCCACGTCGCTGCCCGGCGGCTCCCCCGAGGACGGCTCGCTGAGGAAGAAGCAGCGGCGACAGCGCACGCACTTCACCAGCCAGCAGCTGCAGGAGCTGGAGGCCACCTTCCAGAGGAACCGCTACCCCGACATGAGCACCCGCGAGGAGATAGCCGTGTGGACCAACCTCACCGAGGCCCGCGTGCGGGTATGGCTCTCCCCACCCCGCTGGGGCCTTCCCTCCGCGGGTCCCTTGGTGAGCAGCAGAGCACTCCGCAGCCTGGGACCCGACGCCCCCCACCTGCTCGCCACCTCGGGGCTAGGCTCCCCTCCCTTCGCCCCTCCTTCGCCTTCGTCTCCTGTGCGCTGTTCTCGGGGTGGGCCCCCCGCGGCCCCTGCAACCCCCAGTTTCGACCCCTAGACCTCGAGCCCCGGGGACGGGTGACAGCGCTGACGGCCTCCTCTGTTCCCGCGCCCACAGGTGTGGTTCAAGAACCGGCGCGCCAAGTGGCGGAAGCGCGAGCGCAGCCAGCAGGCCGAGCTGTGCAAGGGCGGCTTCGCGGCGCCGCTCGGAGGGCTGGTGCCGCCCTACGAGGAGGTCTACCCCGGCTACTCGTACGGCAACTGGCCTCCCAAGGCGCTCGGCCCGCCGCTCGCCGCCAAGACCTTCCCGTTCGCCTTCAACTCTGTCAACGTGGGGCCTCTGGCTTCGCAGCCCGTCTTCTCGGCGCCCAGCTCCATCGCCGCCTCCATGGTACCCTCGGCCACCGCCGCCCCGGGCACGGTGCCGGGACCCGGGGCCTTGCAGGGCCTGGCCGGGGGTCCCCCCGGGCTGGCCCCGGGCGCCGTGTCCTCGGGCGCCGTGTCCTGCCCTTACGCCTCGGCCGCCGCAGCCGCCGCTGCAGCCGCCTCCTCCCCCTACGTCTATCGGGACCCGTGTAACTCGAGCCTGGCCAGCCTGCGGCTCAAGGCCAAACAGCACGCCTCCTTCAGCTACCCGGCCGTGCCCGGGCCGCCCCCGGCCGCCAACCTCAGCCCGTGCCAGTACGCCGTGGAACGGCCCGTGTGAGCGGCCGCCGCCCGTGGACCGTCTTCGAGGGCGGGGGCGATCAGCCGCAGTCTCTCTCCCGGACTGGGGTGGCCTAGGCTGGCTTGTCCCTGCTCCCCGCCCCGGCCCAGGGTCTGAGAGGGGGCGCTTGGGCAGCGGGGGGTGTGCCGGGCGGGGTGCGGGGTGGCAGGCTCAAGGGGGGCCATCCCCTCCCGACCCCGAGGGGCTGAACTGCGTCCCCAGCCCCAGATCGCGCCCTTGGGACTAAGAGCAGAACAGGGACCAGCTTGCCCGGGAGGTGTGGGGGGGCCGAGACGCCTCGGTCCACGCCGCCTTCTCCAGACTCCCTCTCCCCGGTTTTCAAAGAAAAACGAAATAAAGGTGCGCGACGGTCCGAGGTCTGATGATTCAGAATTGCGGTTGAGTCCCCCTTCCCCTCCTGTTTCCCGGCAGTCTGAATGGAGGCACAGGGAGGAGGTGAGGGTCTAGGCTTGCCGGGGCTTCCACCCGGGCGTCCCTCTGCCCCAGGCTGGGAGGCCCCCGGGCTTTGCGCGAGCCGCGCGCGGGGAGGAGCGCCCGGCGTCGGCCGAAGCTGGTGCCGCGGCGCCACCTCGTGGTCTCAGGGAGGACAGCTGGGCGTCCCGGACGCCTACTCGCCGGCGCCAGTTCTTACCAGACTTGAGAGAAGGTACCTCCGCTGTTCTGCACCTGTTTCTCACTGTTCGTATGAGGGGCTTGTGCCTCTAACAGCAATAAAATTCTGCTCTGTGATGGACATTTATTAAGCGCCTACATAGCCTAGGATTCTTATTGAGCGTTCTGCGTGCACCTCGCTTCCTTACGCACAGCCAGGCTCATCACCTACATGGATCACACCCCACTGCCAAGGGCCTTCTCCCCTTGCAGCAGCCCCCAGTTTTCTCCAAATCTCTAAACCTCTCCCTAAACTCTGGTTGTTGAAATATTTAATTTTAAAAACTAGATCGAAAGAAAGAAAGATTTCTGGATGAAAATATAAATAATTCAGTCTGAGGAGACTGACCCTCCTGGGTCCCACCCGTTCCCAGGGCCTGTTTGGACTTCACATTACAAACTGGAACAGCAAAAACCAGGCCACGCTCCTGCCACCCAGGGTGACGCTTCCTGCCACCTGGGGCTGCAAAGCCTGTGGGGAAGTCATACAGGTAAGGCACCCAAATCATTCTCCCAGACCTGAACAGAGCCCTGAGGAAGAGAGTTCCTGAGGCTTCTCCCCGCCACCCCTTCACTGGCTCTTGGCCTTTGCTTTGGCCTTGGGCTTGAGGTAGGCTTGGCAGAAGAAGTGGGCAAAGAGGATGAAATAGGTCGTGTACAAGACGAGAGACCAGAAGAAGTGTTCCGCTGTGGTGTGGCACCCCGGTTCCTGCCTCCAGATGTAGGTCAGGACGCCCACGGTGGCCCCCACAAACATCTGCAGGATCTGCAGGCTGGTGATGAGCATGGGCAGCAGCTGGGGGGACCTCACCTTGGCAGCCTTCAGGGTGTAGTAGGTGTACATGACGGCGTGCACGCCAAAGTTCATGGTCATGAACCAGCCACCTGAAGGCACTTTGTTCTTGTAGCCAAAGCAGGTGAACACCAGCACTGTGCTATGGTGGTACCAGTGCACGAAGATGAGTGGCCGCTTCCGCAGGATGATGAAGGCTGTGTCTCCTGAAAGGTGGGGTGTCACAGGTGACCAGGGCTGGGACCACCCTCTGCAGTGGCTGTGGGCATGCGTTAGGCGGGCTGCTCGCTTGGGGCGGGGAAGGGAGTTTGGGAACAGAGACTCTGAAAAGCAGCTTGGGTGAGAGGTGTTACTAAGATGATGGGGTGGGGCGGGGTGGGGATGAGGAAGGGACTACTAGGGTGAGGGAGGGGAAGGCTGTGAGGAGGGATGTGACTCATGGGGCATCAAACAGACAATGTCTCGCTGCTCACCGAGTTCAATGATCTTGCTGAGAAGAAAGACCCAGGACCAGAATTTGATTATAGAGTGCTCAATAGACTCGCTGAAGCACACGGTGTGTTTCAGGCCTCTGCTAAGTGCCAACGTTCCCATGTAGGCCCATGTCCTCACTGCTCCCACGATGCTGGAATAGGACACAGGAAAAGGCATCAAGCCACCCTTCTCCCCTAGCCAGAGACCAGGCCACTAAGTCCCAAACTCCACCACCTTTAATGAGCCACAGCTTTTGATATCCTGGGAGCCAATCTGCAAGTTCCTTCTAGGAGTCTAGAGAAAAAGATGACGGCTGGGGAAAGACCAGGGGATGCAGAAGGGTGGAACTGAAAGGTGAGTTAGAGAACAGGGTCTAATGTGTAACATGGTGGTGCAATGCGGAAAGCGGCCACCTGTGGTGCCAGCATCTTATAAAGGCTCCAGTTCAAGTTCCCATCGCCCTATTTCCAATCCAGCTCTCTGCTAATGCACCTGGGAAAGCAGCACTAGACAGCAAAAGACCTGGAAGAAGCTCCTGGCTTTTGACTTCAGACAGGTTCAACTCCAGCTCTGGCTATTGTGGCCACTTAGAAAGTGAACCAGTGGAGGGGAGCTCACGCTGTCTCTGCCTGCATTTCTGTTAAGTCTGCCTTACAAACAAATGAATCTGAGAGAGAGAGAGAGAATGAGAGAGAGAGAGAGAGAGAGAGAGAGAGAGAGAGAGAGAGAATGGAGTCCTTGCAGTAGGTAGGAGCCTGGGAGGAAATGATGGCAGAAGAGCAAAAGCTAAAGGTATTTGGGGGAGAAGACATGGGCAGGAGGGGCTGGGGAAGTTACTGGAAGGTGTTGTTAGGCATGGAGGCAGAAAGAGGCAGGCAGTGTGAGCAGAGTGCAGTTCAGAGAAGCTAGCAGCAGGATGGCAGGCAACACTGTGAGAGAAAGCTTTGTGGAATCAAAGGGGGTCTGGAGAAGGGAGCAGTAGCGGTGGTATGTCTCACCTGAAGACTGCCAGGCAGAAAGACCAGAGGATGAGGGGCCACTGCAGGTGGAAGCCCTTCCGTGTCTTCATGTAGTTCTGGCCCACCAGGATGAGCAGCAGGTACACCAGCGCAATGGGGAAGGAGGTGGCCCTGCCGGGAAGAAGGCAGGAGAGCACAGGCTGGGGGCCACTCATCTGTGCCGGGGGTAAGCTCAGGCTTGCAGTCCCAGCTGTCACTCACTGACATCTCATTTGCTCTGTTTTCCCTGCTTGCTAAGGGGGAATGATGCACCACTCCTGTCAGCATTACTGTGTACGCACCTGGCGTGCTCTCTTAGTGGAGTTTAGGGTGGCTGGCTCACTGTCTGACCCAGGCCTAGAATTGCCGGGCTGTGTAAGATTGGGCCAATAGACCCTGCCTGGTTGGGTCATGGCTGGAGTTCCAAGTCACCCACAAACACCTCTGTGGAGCTTTAGGGCTAAGCAGATGAGCCTGAGGCAGTCTTGGCAGTGCCCCAGGACACCAGCCTCTGCCTTCTCCAGCAGGCGCCAAGGGGCATCTGCGACAAGGTTGCAATTGTGCCGGCTGGCACCCGCAGCCACAGGGTGGGAGAGGCAGGGGTGGGAAGTGATTTACATCACCCTGGCTGCCCAGTGGCACCTTTCTCCTTGGCTCTGTCTACTTCCACATATTCCTCTTCATCCTTACTTCTGCTCACTTGCTTGCAGCCCAGCTGGGCCTTGACAACAGCGGGCCCCAGTGCGGAACCTTTGCACTTCATGAAGGGCCCTGTTAGCCTCTGACCCCCTTCTGCCCACCCAGAGCAGTTGCCGAGGCCGGGCCCCTCCCCAAGTCTCACCAGTACTCCTCCAGAAAGGGTCTCATGTCCTGGGACAACTCGAAATCATAAGGTTGCAGCAGCAGCCTCACTTCATGTGAGGCGTTCAAGGCTGTGATCATGACCTTTAGGCAGCTGTCAGGGCTCAGAGCTTGGGGACTGGAGCGGGGAGCTGGACAAGAGCCTGGTGGGTCGAGGATCCGGTGAATCTCAAAGCAGGTGGGAACAGACCCTGGGCGGAAGGAATCCCAACACAGGGCGTCGGGTCCCGGCACGTGCACAGCAGTCCAGCCGGCTTCCAGCACCGCGGTCCCCACGGTATTTAACGCGGAATTGCGTTGTGGCAGGCAGGTAGCGCGCGGCCTCCGCCCCGCGGCCGGCCATGAGCCAATCTGGACCAGGACATGCCTCAGCCTGTCCTCTGATTGGTCATTCTCCGTCCCTTCTCAAGCCGTCTCAAAGCACCGCCTCAAATCCCGTCGCGGCCCCTCAAGCTCAGCGAGCTTCCCGCCCCCCAGGTCTCCCCAGCAGGTGCAGTGCCTGGGGCTTAGCTCAGCCGCTGTAAAGCCTGGAAGGTTACCCAAGACCAGTCTAACTGCGGACTGTACTTCGTTGCCTCAGTTTGCTTCAGTCCATACCTACCTGGCACAGGTTGAGAGTGGGGGTGTGTTCAGTCTCTGGCACCCTGAGGTGTCAGTTCCAGGCTCCCTGGAAGCTCTAATGCCTCCCAGCCTGGAGCCTGCAGTTGTGGGTGGAGGAGATGCACTTTATTGAGTTTTATGGTTGAGGTGGTTGATGTTGATGTTGGAGAGGGTGGTTGTTGAGGCAGCTGTAGTTCCTTTACAGTTTCCTGAATGCCTGAACTCCCCAGACTGGCACCCGGTAATAACCTTGGTGAGGAAACAGGGTCACCCTCTGGGCTTTGGGGCTTACTATCTTCAGCTTTTCTGGAGGCCTCCTAGCTTCGGGGAGGGAAGATCTGCTGCCTCCCGCGACTGCCTGCTGATTTCTACCCCACCCCCCTGGTCTGTGCTGGCTTGAGCAAATCGACAGCTTCACCTATCTATTCAGTCCTGAAGAAATAAATGTTTTCTGGCACGGCATAATGGCTTAATTCACTAATCCTACACCTCCAGGCTCTAGGATCCCATACCGGCCCCAGTTCATGTCTCAGCTGCTCCACTTCCCATCAAACTCCCTGCTTGTGGCCAATGAAAGTAGCCAAGGATGGCCCAAAGCCTGGGGACCCTGTATACATGTGGGAGACCCAGAGGAAGTCCCTGGCTTCTGATCAGTTCAGCTCCAGCCATGCCGGTCATTTGGGGGAGTGAACCAGCAGATGGAAGATATTTCTTCGTTTTCCTTATCTTTGTAAAATCTGCCTTTCCAATAAAAATAATTTTTTTGAAAAAGAAAGAAATATTTTAGAAAGATAAAAGGTTTTTGCTGCATGTCCTTTATTTCTCATCTAGGCTTTGAGAAAACAAAGGGCTCTGGAGCAGTTTGTAATAAGTTGGATGTTGGCAAGACAAGCACTGAGGGAGAAAAAAAAAAACAACACATGAGTAGGGCCGAACAAAGTAGTCTAGTGGCTAACGTCTGCCCCTTGCATGCGC